TTTCTTCTCCTGCTACTTAATTCCATGACATGCTGAAATTCTGTCCACTTTCTTCTTTTATTCTAAACTCCCTGAGTTAATGGAACCACTGCTATCATTCTTTTTCTCAGTTCCTCTTCCTAATGTGCACAGTATGTCTGCCCTGCTCCACGTCAGAGAAGGTTCTCCTTTGGATCTAACATTGTACGGGTCAGGAGGAGTAGACATCACTGGAGACTCCTGCAGTAAGTCCCAGCCTCCTGTGAGCCACCACAGCACCAGCTAAAGGTTAAAGAATAGACAGAATGAGACTTACAGTGAAGCTGAGTCTTGGTTCCTGATCAATGTTGCTCTAGGCAACAAAGACAAAAGCCCCCAAGCTCATCCAGCATTTATTGAATACAATCATGAGAAGGAATAGGGAGCTAGGGAGCTTTGAAGGCATCTAGTGAATTACTACGGAACACCTGGCATGATGGCACCAGGCAGGGCTGTTAGAGAGTAGGCACTGCTTATTTTGCTAGAATAGAAGAAACCAGTACTAGGACCAGGTACAATTAGCAAGCAACCCACAAGGTCAGTGAGAAGGGATAATTCAGGGGTAAGGATTCTAATTGGGGTCATGTTGACCTCAGCTGCACGTAATTCAGCAGGGCCCTGCCACTTCACAGACCAGGACTTAGGCCTCAGTGACTGCCATTAGCAAAGGAGCAATACTAGCCCAAGTCTGCTAGCTGATATGCCCATTTGAGCCACTCAGGGCTTTCGTCTGACTCCTGATATAAAACAGTATAGCGAAATTAGGGAAGGCAAGAAGCACATGCCACTTAGCCCTCTAGTGCTGGGCAGGTATGTCTGCTACATTACATGACGCACACAAGTCCATCTATTCCTGTTCCACAGCCTTCTCATTTCTCAAACTTCCATTTTGCTCACTCTGTGATTATCCTCACATCTTTGAAAGCTCCCCTCCTTCTCTGACTTCTAAGGCCCCATGATTATCCATTTCCTGACTGCTCACCCTTCTGAATATGCAGTTCTTCAACTCAGTGTGGGTGCTTACTGAGCCCCAGTGCTGTCCTCAGCTCACCACCCTCTGTATTCCCTGGGGCATCAGTTCACCATGGAGACTTTGCCACTATCTCTCTGCCTCCCAAATGTGCATTTTGTTAACTCCTTATTCACGTTATAGTTTGCAACGAATTTTCTCCACAATTATCTTATCTACACTGCTTGGCTATCTTCTGAGATTGGCTGAATTGACATCATTATTTCAATTTTATAAATAAAGAAAAAAGTTGAATTTTCTTTCAGAATTTAAGGATGTTTCCTGAGTTCTAACCTGCACTACATTCCTACATTTCAGTTTCCTAGAGGATACTCTTACTTGATGATTCTGCCTCAATTTCAAACCCTGTCTGAACTCATCCTTCACTTCAAACAGATCCTTGACTATGACTGGGATAATTTCTTTAATTCTCCTTGATTTTATACCTCACATATAATCAATTGACAGAATTACCATCATTGTTTTTATATAATATGTCTTGAATTCTGTCCTTAAATCTACGTGTACAATGTCACCATGTTAATCTTGGACATTTTCAGCTAATGTGCAGAAAGTGTAAGCACATCCTGACCTGTACACCATTGTTAGATTTAACCAGTTAAAATCCCATTTTCATTTCACTGTAAACCGATAACTATCAGACCAAACTCAAATTCCTCAACCAACAATATAAGGCTTTGCACCACTTGACTCAGTCGTGCCTATATCACATAAGACCATCAGCAACAATAAACTCTCACATGTGAGAGTCACACCATGAAGTGACAGAAGCAGAAGAGCACTGAGATCTGAGTCCCATTCTGACATTTCCTAATGGGGTGGCCTTGAACAGACATATCTCTTAGCTCTTTGGGGGAGATTATCTATAGATTGAGGATAATGAAGCCTCTGACCCCATATCTAAAGAAGGCTCTGAAAGGAGCAAATGTAGTGATACATGTGACTGTAGAGCTGGCTTTATTGTAGTTATTTTACTGCTCCTCAAAACCAAGTAACCCAGACTTGGATTGGAACTTCTTCATGCATGTGCCTTTCATGCCACTCTCTGGTCTCTGCCCTACCCCTCTTTCCCAATCTGCACAATATTAACTCTTGCAGGTAAAATCTCCTTCCACAGCCTCATCGCTTTCCACATAACACCTCACCAAAATGACACTACTCATGGGATTCTCTCTCTTTTTTTTCCCAAATGTTCCTATGGCACTTATTAATAAACTCCTAGGGCCTAAGATTAGTTCTTCATATGCTTTGGCAGTTGTGTGTGATGCAGCTGCATCAAGGTGACGTCTCTAGATTATCATATTTGCAACAGGAAGGAACAGCCTTCTACTGATGCTGCATACCCTATATTTCCAAGCGTATATCTGAGGGAATTTGGTAAACTCACCATCAATAAACCATAAGCATTACCATAACATGCCCTTAAAGCACATATGATGGACACAAATAATATGATCTGATGATTCAGGTAGACGAATTTGAAGTTCCATTAGGCATCTCTTTCTCCTCCTTTATATCTAAACATTCTGTAATTGTGGTGTCAATTCTCCACAGTAATAGGCTTCTGTTTACTAACACATCCTGCAATTCACAACTCTTCCCACAGTGATGCTTTTCATTTTATCCAAAACCTTAGGAACATAACTTGGATTTTAGCTCCCAGAGCTACTACATATTGTAGAATTTCAAATAGGACATTTATTTTATAGTTCATAGAAGTGTTCAGAAGAGAGAGATGAAGGTGAAGACCTATCTGCCTCTTCCTAGCTGCAGAGTCTTGGGCAAGTGGCTTGTCTTCATGAGCCTGTTTCCTCATCTGTAAATGGCACCATGAATGTGACATCCACACAGGGTAAGCACTCAATAATGTTAATTATTACTGTTTAAATTAAAATTTGGACTTAGGAAAAGTACCAGGTACACTAAGTTTTCTCAGAGCATTATAGAAAAAAGAAAAGCAAGGACTGAGAAATGATTAAGGATTTTTAAAAGAGGAAGATGTGGCATTGGTTGCTCTCAGCTCTACAGAAACAGTAGGAGAGAAAACAAAGGAAGAACACAAATTCAAGATTTGGATCCGTATCCTTGCATTTACTAGCGCTATGATTTTGGGCAGATGATTTTTATCTCTCTCTCTGCTTCAGCTCCTTTTCAATGAAAAGGTAATGACAATAATAACAACAGTTCATACTTCATAGGGTTATTGGAAGGATGCAGTAACATGGTATGTGAATGTACTTGGGCTAGAGCCTGGACCATAGAAAGCACCACATTAACTATCAACTGTTGTTATTGCACATGCCCTCAGAATTACTTCCTTGAAGTTGTACAGAAAGAATGCAACCCTCTGGGGTGGAAAATTCCACAACACACATGTTCTTTAAAACCCCAGAAGTCCCAAAATGCTGAACTAATGTGGCACCCAAAAAGAGACATTTCATTGATTCTGTTATTGCTAATCCAGAGCCTTGTTGTAATAGGCCCCAAATGTCACTTCAGAAATGCAAATCTTTGTAGACCTTTCTGGCCTGTCAGATACGACCTTGGACTTTCAATTTTTTTCCCACAGGGCTAAAGTGAATTAAGTTCTTGGAGACTGGATCAGAAACACAGATAAAAACAACTGAGATTGTGACATCTTTTGAATGAGGAACTGAGTTGGTCTCAGTAAACGGGGAAGAAGGGAGTGAATGACACAGGGCCCTGTTTCCATGGACTCAGCATCTTGGAGAATTTTGCTGCTCTGGTTCTTCCTCCCTCTGTCACCCTCCAAGTGCCTCATAGAGCTTCAAGGTAGAAGCTACTTAATGGGCCACCAGGCTAATAATGACCTTTGCATGCTGGGTGCCAATGATTTCTCCCCACTGCATGGCTGTGAATTCAGCACACTGGACCATTGGGGGAAGGTTTACTGGCAGCCCTGCTGTAAACCAACACCCATTCTATAAACATCTATGGTGTGGAAAGCTCCCTGGGGAAGAAATCTCCAATTCACTTTTCTAGCATTGTACAGATTCTCAACAGCTCTGAGTCGGAGAGAGACTTCTCAAGCAGAGTTGGGGGCCTAGTCATTCACCTTGCCCATAGGCTATGTCCTCACTGGGGCCTGTGCAGTTTGACAGTTGCTTGTCTTCAGAGTTCCTTTAGTTCAGATGCCATAGTTGGAAATTTTAAAGTTCATCTTGTCTTCTGTCCTTTTCGATCCCAAACAAACCTTGCTTGGGCTTATCCTGGAGCTTGTCAGAAAGAAATTTGGGGCAGTGTTTATGGGATTCCACTGAAGCTCCTGAGGAGCAGTCTCTGAAGCCATTCTGTTCCCCATAAGGGGAAGATCTGAGCAAATCCTGTAAGATGAATGGGGTAGCTTTAATGTGCAATTGTCACAAAGGCCAGGCTTTCTATGGGATACCAAATGCACTGAGAAATTTCTTTTTTGTAATTACCTAATCTAATTGGTTCTTTTAAAAGTAAAATTTTTATTCCACTTTACCATCTCTCCTCAGACTGCTGAAGAATGCAGTGGGATTTGGGGGGTGAGGTGCTGGAGAGGTTGGTAGACTTTGCTCATTGTTTGGTCTGTCTGATCTTCTTCCTGACTAAATTCCAGACTGTTCAGAAAAAATTCAAAACCTCTTTCAAATAACTTCTGCATTTTATTATCTTTGTTTCCTGTTTTAATTCTAAAAACCAGACATGCAACATTGTATGATACAATGTTTTCTAGTTAGGACATTTCCTTGAAATCATAGTAGTTGTGTTCTCAACTTCAGTGATTTTTCCTAGCTACTGTCCACATGTTTGTGTCTGCCTCCTTCACTTTCTAGCACTTTCTCTGACCCATGAGAACTCTTGGCAACCACCAGACCCTTCTTTGCCAGGTTTCTGCCTTCTTAAAACCTTGACTTTTAGGCTCAGCTTGTGGGTGGGGCTGACTTTCCACTGAAAGGAGAGCTTTGGCCAGACAACAGAACATGTAGTGACATGACATCCTCCACCACAAATAAGCTGTACACAAGCAGATGGAAGAACAGACACCCCCAGGAAGACGTGTATTACCAGAGCTACCATGAGGACAAAGACCTGCATAGGAGAAAAATGATGGTTTAGAAAATGTATGGCCAAAATGTCAGCTCCTGTAAGTATCTGCCTTAGATTGGTAGTTTAACAATAGCTGCTTTTCTTATATTTTTTGCTGACAAATTTTTCTCCTCCATTTTCTGTTGGTCAGTTTGCACATTGTACACTAAATTCCTTTCTTGAGAATTTTCCTGTGCAAAAAGATACCTATGATTTAAGTACATTTGTAGGAAACATTTACTTTTAAATTGGAGTTTTTCGTGATTTTTTTTTTCTCTCTTGAGGGACAAATGCTCCCAGGGATTGAAGCCTTATGGAAGGCTGGCATCCAACCAGGTGAGAGAATACCTCTGCCACCAAAGACAAGATGCAACCGCTGTCTTTACTAAATTCCCTTTTTTTCCCTAATATTTTCTGCAAACTAGCTTTTCTTTCATGTTCAGCTACCACAATAAACAAACAAACCTATGCAGAGAAAACATATATTGAGATTTCTCAATTCAATGAAGACATAATTTCATTCTTTAAAAAAAATAAGATCATTCTTTTGACTAAGTTCTCCATTCTCTCTGCTTCTCACAGTTTTCTTAAACTCTTCTTGGTTACTATAATATATAACTTTATGATGGTATAAGAAATTCAAGTTTTTTGTCCCTTCCCAATATATTTCATCAGTATATTAAGAAAGATTGGAGGTATTTGATATTAATTCAATGTCTGATTTAAATATGGTCATAGAATTATTCTGCAACTTAGTCTCTGATTCTCAAGATAGCAAAGGAAAGGCATAAGATCAACTAGTTAAGAAACTGCTATCTTTTAGATACAATTTAATTTGAATGTCCCTCATTGTAATTGGTTTTGCATGCAGGGTGGTAGTTTTGGGAGTTGTTGTGGACATTTAAGAGGTAGTCCTAGAAGGAGGTCATTGAGGGTATCCCTTTGAGAGGGATTGTGGGTCTCCAAGTCCTACTCTGGTTCAAGATGTAACTACTTGCTGTGACACATGCAGTAAAAGACATATTGTGATTAATCCCCTTCAAAATATTTCCTTTCATTTCAAACATACTTATCCCATTTTCTTCCCACTTTCTGAAGGAGTTCTGGAAGTCTGCTTTTGTGAGTATCTTCAGTTGCTCTCTCATGGTTGCCTCAATGTCCTGAAGTGATTCAAAATGTTTACCTTTCATGGTTATTTTGGTCTTTAGGAACAGCCAGAAGTCACATGGTGGAAGATCTGGCTAGTAGGGTGGATGAGGACACATTATAATGTTTTTCACTAACCTGCCTTTCTTTTGGATGGCACTCAGCAGCAGCATTCACTGTATTTTTATCACACCTGTAAAAACATTCATGAAAGAGGACTTCCAGAACTGCTTCAGAAAGTGGCAAGAATGATGGAATATGTGTGTTTAAAGTTAGGGGAAATATTTTCAGGGGGATTATGATGATGTATCTGTTAACTTAAATCAATTTTTTAAGTTAACCATTCATTGTACATTTCTATCATAGCTTATATATACTTTGAGTTCCAGCTCATCATGTAGCTGTCTTTCAATCAATCTCAATTTTCTTTCTAAACACCACCCTTTCCAGAAGAAGTTTTCTCTGATCCCTCCAGGTCTTGGCTAGCTGTAGCCCCATAGCTTTCTACTTACCCTGCCCCACTTACCCCAGGGGGCAACAGTTGGCTCCTTTCTATCCCCAACACTGAATGTTTATCCACTGCGGTCAAGAATGAAATGTCTCTGGTCTGCTGCTGTACCTCTAGGGCCTAGCACAGCATGTGCATGTAAGTGTGCTCAGAAAAATGACCACTGAGTGAGCTAATGAAGCCATTATCCAACCTCCTCATTTTATGTCTCACAATAAATATTTTCTGGGACCTTCCTTAATGGTCTTTTACAATGACATGCTGTTTGGTTTTTTCCCCCCGCAACTTTTCTGTCTCTGAAATTCAAAACTATAGTCTAGGAAGAGGAACATAGGGATAATGGCACAGGGGCAGGAGGCAGCCACAAAATGTACCCAAATGGTGCTCTGTACCCTCATTATAGGAGGTGGCACTATTGTCTAGGTAGCAAATTGTCTAGTTGTGTGCCAGCAAATCCCAAGTAGGAATCTGTACCTGTTGCAACTAATAAGGGGAGCAACTTTCAAATCTCTCAGAGAATTTACCAGAGAGCAGAGTTACTGTTAATGTAAAACTTAAAACTTTTTAAAAATTAACTTATTTTAACCAACCATCACAATCTCTGATAGTTTCAAGTACTCTTTAGACATTTTTTTCTTGTATTAGAGGCTCAAATGAGATAAAATACTATCTCCACAAGCTAATAGGAGGAGACTCATATGGGAAAGTCTTTTTTTTTCAAGATAAAAATAATCTTGTTTTAATAGTGTGTATAATAGTGTGTAATAGAGACAATCACGGTGGGTTGAGCTCTTTTAAACTCCACTGTTTATTTAATCTTTACATTTCCAGAGTAAAGAGGCGCCTCTCCTCTCCACTCCTGCTCCTTCTCCCTCTACTTCTTCCTCTTCTCTTCTTCATTCCTTTCTATTCTCCCTTCTTGGTCTTCCTGAGGTCTGATCCCTTACTTCTTTGAAATCTCTCTCTCCCCCAAGGACTTTGGACTTTCTTCTAAAGATGAAAACAGCTCTATGTATGGTCTCACTCTTCCTAAGGGCCCTTTCAACTTTTGAATTCTTTATTGTCAACATATTAGTCAGACCCTCATCATGGGTCCTTTGATTAATTACTGGACTTCTTCTTCAATGGAGTCAGCCAAGTCATCTGTCCAATAAATAGGAGAGATTTTCCTTTAGATAATGTCAAAGATTACCTTTTCTTCATGGATTGATTAATAGAAAAAGATTAATAAAGTTCAACAGAGATAAACATAAGCTGTAACTAAAGTCCACATTCACTGATGAATTAATTTATTTATACGTACTCAGTGGAGTCCATGTACTGGGTTTTATGCAAGGAGTCCATCCAGAGACTCTTGGTTCAGTAGAAAGGATGAGACCAGTGCATAAATAATCCCAATACAAAATGGAAATTGTTGATTCCCCTAGAAAAGCATCTGATACGAATATAAACAGATTTTCTAGCAAACCTGAGCAACTGCAGCAAAATGCTTGCCTTTCGTTGAATCATCCAGCTTGGTTTCTGCATTGGCGGAGTTCTCTGGGTAACTGCACGATCTTTTATGAGACTTCCTATTACACAAGCTTAGTTTTTGGGGATTCACATGCTTCTTGTGCTGTGCAAGGTAAACTAGAAAAGCAGGAGGGGTCCTGAAGTCTATAGCACATTCAAGTTAATAGCAGTTCTGGAAATAATCCTGACACAGAGCAATGAATGCACCTCATCTTTTCTCCAAAATAGTTGCTTAGTGGTGGAGGGAATTCCTCTTAAACTCCCAGTGCATGGGGAGGCAGGATGCTATAATGAATGCAAGCATATGCAATTGAGTTAGAAGGGATCTGGCTTCGTCTCACTTCTGCCTTTTGGTCACTTTTACTGTTTCACCATTCTAAGCTTCAAAACTCTTATATGCCAAGGGAGAATTGAAGTGAGAATCAAAGACAAAAATGGATGTGATATGATTAACTTGGTTCCTGATACATGGGAAGTCATCAGTCAATGCTAGCTAACAGTCACAATGCCATGTGACAATAACATACAAAACTCAGAGAATTAAATAGCAAGCTTCTTTGTGCCAAATGGAGGGAATTGAGACAATTTCAGGTGGAAAAGAGCCAACTAGAAAGACATAAACAATTCTATTTAATTTATATTACACAAGCATGCATGTTTGTGATTAAGAAAATAAGATAATAGAAACTGAAATAAATTTAACTCATAAATTTTACCACCAACCAGACATATCTAAATTTTTGTGCATAGTGTCATCTTTCTTCAAATACACATAAGTAATTTTTAACAAAAATGGGTGCATATTATAATGTTGTTTGTACCTAACTTGTTACTGTGTCATAGTCACCTTTCTTTTTCAAGAAATAAGTATCAACGTCATTATTCAATTGACTAAATATTATCCAGTTATGTCGGTATAACAAAACTTGTTTAATCAACTTCTTATAATAGTTATTATTCAAATTGTAAGGAAGGAGTTACATGCCCTGTGCTCTACCAGATTGAGCCAGTCCTGGATTCACCTGAGGAGAGATCCCACGTTCTCTGGGCTTCATCTTTACCATCTTTAAAATAAAAGTTGTACCTTCCAGAGCTTGAGGCTGCCACATAGGTCAAATGAACTATGTGTGCAGACATGTTTCTAAGTTGTAAAGTACTATGTGAATGTTTCTATTCATCAAAGATAATAAACAAGTGCTCTCTTCCATGGGATGAAAACAAGGAAAAATATAATTAACACACTACTGATCAAGTTAGGTTGAATCAAAATAAGAACATCCCTGTGTAGTCTAATAATACAGAGCAACTGCTTTAACTTGGTTTATCTGCTTTTTTGTTTGTTTTCAGTTCTTGAAGGGAGAAGTGAGACTATAGCTCTGGTATGTTTTGCCCACCTTTCCATATGAGGATACAGTGCCCATGGAAAGTAAGTATCATGTCTGTAATGCTCCTAGAAAGCCAGGACAAGCCACCTCCTGCCTCCAAACTAAATCCTATCTGTCTTTGCTGTATCCGGGCTATGTTTGTGATTGGCCAACTATTAAAAATACCTGTCCGATGCTTGATCTTGAAAAAAATGCGAAAGAAAAGAAATCTGGGCTCCCTTGGTAGGTAGTAACAGATAATAGACTTAATTTTGGTATATTTAGAACATTCTAGAGCCTCAAGTCCTCTTGCTAATTTTCAAAGCAATAAAAAAAATCCATTTCCTTATAGCATTAGTAAATTGAAACTCTGAAATAGAGTCTCATCTTAAGAGTTTATGTGGTTGAGGTAGATGACAAAAATTTCTGAAAGCCTTATGCATCCCACAAATTAACTCTATAATTTGCATTACTTCTATAATATTTGAAGGGAAGTTTGGGTGGCTTGCCTAAAATTATATCTCTTCTGCTATTAATAAATACATATTACTCTCGAGTATGTGTCAGAGACAGGAAAATATTTCCAATAGTTTAGGTCCTCTAAGCTGACCACTCATTAGAATCATGTGAGAAGTTTTTGGAAAACAAAATAAAACACTACAAATGACTGGCTGATCCTTAAAAGTAAAGTTTCAATTATTCAAGAGGTGATTCAGATTCAAGTGATCCTGGCTGAGTATGTTGCTAGAGTTGAGAACCACTGACGTGGGTCTCATGGGGTAATGAACAGATTATGTATTCACATTCTTACACTTTCATACCCCTGACCAAAATCATTGAAATGTACATTTCTCAGATTTGAACTCTTCTTCCCCAAAACCAAGACCCTGGGTGGAAAAAAATATATTTTACAGAGTAAAATGAACCAATCTCTAAAAAATAGGAAAGATGCTATATGTTTGAAAATAGAGGAATGTTTGGATACAGTAAATTTCCTCAATGCAATCTTATGCAGCAATTTAAAATGATGATTATGAAGTGTTCATAGCAACATGGATAGACATAAGCTGCACCAGAAGAAATGGATATAAACTTCTCTGTACTATATGGATACAACTATGAAAATCAAACTAAAATTATATGTACGTGGTGCTCACACACACACAAAGAATGGAAGAAAATGCTCCCAAAATGCTAATAAGGCCTATCTTGGTTGTGGCTTTTGCTTCCTTCTACTTTTGGAGCTTTCTCAATATTTTTTTAAGTATCATATATATGATAGAAAAACATTTATAATAGAACAATATAAGCTTACTTTTCACAGATTATTCCTCTATGAAGTGATAAGGCATAATTCTCAATAATTCTCAAAAGTTAAAATGCCCGCCCACCTGTAAGTTTCTGCCCTTCAGATGCTGTGACTTTAGTCTCCTCTATCTCTCTTGTTTTTCTCCTCCAAGTAATTCAGCTTGTTCATTTAAAAGAAATGTGAAACAGCAAATTATATTTTATGAACAGTGTCAGCCAATAGAGAGAAAAGAAGGAACTTTGAACAGCAGGTCATCTGTGCTTTGTAGAGTTTCTGAGGGTGGGGGTGTGGTGTCAGCTTCTTTCTTAGGAAGAGAGGAAGATTTTCACTTAGGGACGATCTCAAAAGGAGAGGACTCTGAGATGAGTTGCCTTGCCCTCTCATGACTGTTTTTTGCTACTGTTGTTTTGGTTTTTTATCAGCATCTTTCACATGAGATTGGTGTGATGTGATGGGCTAAAGTCACAGGTTTCAAGTGGCTTTTAGTTCTCCTAAATGATTTCTGCTTCTGGGATAAGGGTAACAACAGAACCATCTTAGTGCATAGCTTTGGGGAGCTATTTAGAGTGCTCCTCACTCCCATATGCTTTCTCTCCTGCCCCCAGGCAGAAGCTTTACCCATTCTGTTTAAACCTCTCTGCAAAGGTTGGAGATGACCTCCTTGTGGCCCATGTAAGATGTCCTTTCTCAGTCCTTATCTTCCTTCCCCTCTTGTCTGCACAGTTAACCATGTATACTTTCTTAAAACTCCATCTTTATTTGGTTCTTTTTCTACCCCTCAGAGTGCTTCTCCTTTTCTGGGACCTCTTTTTCCATCAGTTTTTCAAATGTGAACCTTCCCCAAAGATCTGCCTTGTGACCTCTTCCCTTCCCCTTCTCTTGCTTGTATACACCTCATCTACAACAATAGCCAAATTTAACATGACCCAAACAGAGCTTTTCTTTCCCTGAAGCCTATTCTCCCCCATTTTCTGCATATAAGCAGATGATACCACAATGATTCAGCCAGTTAATTCATTTATAAACCTAGAAGTTATCCTCAACTCTTTCTCTCACAACCCAAATCCAAGCAAATAATGATTTGTTCTTTTCTGTTGTTGTTTTTCTACCTGCAAAATGTACTCCAAACACATCCATTTCTCACCATCCTCTCCTTCTTCAAACCCCAATTATTCCTTGGATAAAAAGCTGCAGTTATAGGCTGGCAATGTGGCTCAGTGGTAGAGCACTTGCCTGGCATGAGAAGGCTCTGAGCCTCATTAGCCAGAACCAGAGGAAAAAGTCTCCAAACTGAAAAAGTTAAGTAAAATGATCCCTGTGGATAATACCATCTTATATATAGAAAAGCCTAATGGTTATACACACACACATGCATATACACACACATACACACCTTGTCAGTACTAGCAAATTGAAAATCTTTCACGATACAAAATCAACACACAAAAATCAGTTGCATTTCTATACATTGACAATGATCAGTCCACAAGGAAATTTAAAATACTGTATCATTTACAAATCATCAAAAAAATAAAATACTTACAAGCTAATATAATCAAGACAAAAGGCTAAACATTGCTGAAAGTAATTAAAGGAATTTCTTTAATGGAAAGACATCATATATTCATTAATTGACTTAAATATTACTAAGATCCCAGTATTATACAAATTGATATACAGAGTCAATGCAATCCTTATCAATGTTCTTTTCATACATTGCCAAATGACAAGGGTCCCACCAAGATGGATTATGTAAAGGTGCAAATCTCCAATGATGAATGTCATTATATTGTATACTTTAAATGTACCAATGAAATTAATTTTTTAAAAAAGAATGACATTTTGATCTAATATTAGTCATGGCAAACTTATGCTGCAGTGGTTATTTGTACTGAAAGCTCTAAAAGGTTCATCATCACTGACATACTATGGTGGCACTAAAAGATTATAATGGAGCTGAAAATTTCCTGTTGCCTAGTGACATTGTAGCAGTCATAATGTCCTAGTACAATGCATGACTTAGGTTTTCATGGTGACACTGGTGTCAACAAATGCACTATGCTGGCAGTAGTATGAACATATAGCATATACAATTATTTACAGTATATAGTGCTTGATAATGATAATAAATTATTAGTTTATATATTTTTTAAAAGGGTCTCAAGACCATCTAATGAGAAAAGACAGCCTTTTCAACAAATACTGTGAAGCAAACTAGATATCCACGTACAAAAGAAAGTGGACTCTTTCCCAAAGCCATATGTAAAAATTAAATCAAAATGGATAAATATAAAAGATTAAACTATGAAAGTCTTGAAAGAAAACATACAATTTATGACTGGATTAGCAATGATTCTCTCTCTCTTTTTTTTTTTTTTTGGTACCAGGGATCAAACTCAGAATCTTGCACTTGCAAGGAGGCGGCTGAGCAATGATTTTTGATTATGACCCCAAAGACATACACAAAATGTAGACAAACTGAATTTGAGGGCAGTGGTACAGGTGCATAACACATCTTAGTTCCTTTTTCATGCCCTACCCCTCCCTGTTCCTTCTATCTCTTGTTCCCCTTCCCATTTGCAAAAGCTCTATCTCCATTTTTTTCCTCCCAATTTTATCACCTTCTCCCCACCTCTTGTTCTTCCCATTTAAAAGATCCCCCTACTTCCTGTTATCTACCTATTATTTTTAGACAGAGCATTGCTTGTGGAGGGCACAAACATGAAGAAGGGAGCCAAAATTATTTTTATTCCCCTTATCAAACCATTCCCTTCCTCTCAGCCTACCTTTTCCTAGACCCCTAACTCTCCTGCTGCTCATCCAGTCTTTCCTGTTCTGAGAAAACAAATTAGTTAAGTCACTTAGGACAAACTGGTGACAAAGAATGTAGCTCCTTGTTGGTTTTCTGTTGCTATAGCAAAATACTTGAAACAGTAAGGTGGAAGGCATCACATGGCAAGAAAGAGAAAGGGTGCTAACTTGAGTTTCTTCCTCTTCTTAAAAAACCACAAATATCAAATCAAATCCATCTTACCTTTTTAAAGAATTTCTACTTATTAAGCAAAACTATGGGCTTCTCTTGGCATCGCTGATTTATATGATGTTTCATTTGTTTGTTTACCTTAATCTTTAAAGATGGAAACAGTAGCTGCCTCTTAAACTGAGTATGTGCAATAGAATGGATACAAGCTAATGTCTAAGTAAACAGTACTAAGAAATATATTGTGCATTTAATGTCTAAAGGATACTTTGTGGTAGCTTTAATAGCAGGCAACATCAAAATTCCACAGAGTCCAGGAAATTACACTATTGCGTCCAGGTCCTTGAGAGGTCCCAAGCACCAAGACCCTTAGGGACTGCATAGGATATCCAACACACTTTGCTTCCTACCCATGAGCCACAGCCTCCTTTGGATGACCATTCAGCGTGCAATTAGCTCTACCCTGTGCTCTGAAAGGGTGGAGGCCACTGCTGTGGAAGTAAAAGGACTCCGTCTGGAGGTCGGCCAGGCTCAATCCTGGTGGGGTACAGTGGGTGCTTCAGAAAAACAGACTGATGGGAAATGTTCTGAAGAGCAGAGTTTCTGAAATCTGGGTTTCCCCACATTCTGTGAATGTCTGTATTTATCAACTCCTTCCCCTGGTGCACAAAAAACTGTTTTGAGCATGTTAAATAACTAGAATCCTGGAACTATAAAACCCCAGGAAACAGAAGAGTATTTTAAAGAGTGAGCTTGGTGTAAGGCTATAGTTT